TTTTGTAATACCATACAATCGTAAAGTAATAAAGGAGACTAAAGGCAAGATGGCCTAAGTGAAAAAAAAAAAAAAAAATTATTTAATGATCGGTTGGGTATATCACCTATAATCTTGGTACTATCATCTCAAAATAGAAGCTCTTGGGCAATCCAAATCCAAGGAACCAGAATAATTGAAACCTATTTGGCAAGACCTGAGTAAGGAGGTAGGGAAGATCTTTGATGATATTGCAGAAAGTTGAAAACCAGAAACTGAAGAACCGGATAAAAACACAAAAGCAAGAAGGGTCCACCAACCTGACCGCTGGAGTTGCACTGGAGGAAAAGATTCTATACTATAGAATTAGAAACCAAGGGAAATAAAACCGGAAGATACTTAAAGCCTAAGTACAACAACCTGTCTGGGCTAACTGGTTTGGTAGTTGGAAAGTGATCGATATAAGGACCGGCTTGATGTAGGTATCAGGATCAGAATGAACCTTGCAAAGGTACTAGATACTGGAATTATGCGGTTTAATGGTTCACTCTGACTGCTAATGGTGGTTTCAGCTGCTGCAAAAGGTATCCGTAGCCTAATCTGGAAGTGCGTGAGACATAGAAAGATTAAAGGAGTATGTACTACACCCTTCCTAGAGTAACCTGATATGTAGATTCTACTGGGCTACCTATAGAATTAGGGTGCAAGTAGTATAGCAGATGTTGATCTGAGTGGTCTTTAATAAGAAGCAGCACAAGATTATGGATTGGTGTGATTGTAGTGGTGATGCAGGACAGGAGATATCAGAGGGTTTAAATAGATAATCTTCTAGTTAGGTTACAGATATGACATATAGTATAGAACCTTCAGGCAAACTACTTAAATTAGGCAACCAAAAGTTGTATGTATAGCTATATGTACTCTCACTAACTAAGAATGTACTACTAAAATACCTAATAAAAATCTACCCTTCTGCGACATTGCGAAGGTATAAAAAAAAAAAAAAAAAAAAAAAAAAAAAATTAATTTTAAAATTAATTTTAAAATTAGTCAATTACAAGAAGCCAAATATGTGACTTGTTCTATTTTTGGTTAAATTTTTACATATCATATAAAAATACTATATTTTTAAAGCTATATATTTTGAAAAATTATTATAACTTCTTAACAAATAAGGCTGCTAAGTTGTAATAAATTGATTTAGCTACAAAATAGCAGCTTCCTTTTAAAATATCTTTTTTAGATCAAAATTTATTAGCTTTTAAAGTTTGTGTAGTCTTTAAGTGTCATGCACTGTACCTCAGATAAGTTGAATATCAATATTATATAAATTTAGCTGGATATCAATATTATATAAATTCGGCTGCAATTAAATATTTCAGATTCAATAGTAGTTATTTTAGTTAAGCTAGACATTTTTTTTTAAAATGTTTACTATAACGAACAAGCTAAAGGTTTCTTAGTTATTACTTATCGAATTGGTCAAATAACCTGAATCCCAAAGGTTAGCTGTAATGGTTCCGGGTCGGTTTCGGGTTTGTTCTATTCGGTTCCGGGTCTATTTGAGACTCGATCCGATTTTTCGGATCCGGATTGAGTCTTCTCTAAAATCCGTCCTGATCCGGTCCGTGGGGAACACTAGCCCAGATGATCATTTTGCTGTAGGATAGTTAGCTGGTATTATTGCTTAATACCGGCTTGACTCCGGGCCTATTCCGACCCTAAATTTTGATCGGTCTGCTGAAGGTTGCTCCATTAACCTATTCTTTAAGCATGAAGTGACAAAAAACTCTGGTACTTTAGTGTTTCGTATATTAGTAAAGAGCTATCGCGCTTTACTAGTATTCTAACACCATCGTACCTTACCGCATATGATCTGATCGGTGCTTAAAGTCGACCAATCAAATCGTATTCAGCAAATACCTCAGTTATTTGGCACGAAGTTTTATTTGCTGGATTCAACCCTGATCAGACATACCGGGTGTTCAAAAAGTTCCTATACACAGTCCCTTTTTTTTTTTTTTTTTTTTTAAGTGACCTTCTATATAAAAACCACGATCTCAAATATATGTTATCATATGTTTGAATAATAGGGAATCATGAATAGGAACTTTTCGAGCATCCGGTACATAATACGCAGGGGTTCCAAAAAATTAATTGCAATTATTGTCAACTAAAACTGTTTAAAAAAACAATTGCAAATACAATTAAATTGCGAATAATTGCAGTTAATTGCAATTAATTGCAATTTTTGTTTTTACCATAAGGTTTGCTATAAAGGTTTCAATTTAAAATACACTATTTTGAAAACCAAAAAAAAATTAATCGCGCCCATCTGCGGATCTAAAAAACCTCTATGTAGCACTTGTTCAAAATTTTTGCGCTCATTAAAATAAATTTAAAAATAAGAACTTAGAGTGTTATCTCGAGAAAAAAAAAGGGAATTATTCAGGTCATTAAAAAAAAAAAAGGAATAATTTGATTTATTCGATAATTGTCGCTGCACCGCCAATGAATTAATTACTTTTAAATAAAATTCTTTAGATTTGATTTATTATTAATAAAATGTTTTCAAAAATCACTTTAAATATAAATATATATTATATATATAAATAAGATACCCGATAACTGATAATTAATTTGCATCAGCTAATCATATGAAAGTTTGCTTAAATAAAAAAACAGTTGCGAATTAATTTTTTTGTCATAATTGTCATAAAAATATAAGTTAAATAATCAGAGTAGGTGTCGGATCGGAGTGGTCGTAATCACATGATCTATCTATACTTCGTTTTCGGCATGGCTAGTATTTTAATTTCTATTTTTGATTGTAATGTTTTGCGAGTTGCGTCACCCTTGAAAATATTAACACCCATGCTTGCATCGATGTTAGAAGTACGTATGTTTAATAATTCAATATGCAAAATTCATCCCTAATTTATTATTTTGTATTAGGAAGTAAGTTCCATGAGCTTAGAGGAAAAAAAGCGGCTGCTGATTAGAGTACGACAAACGAAAATGATGCTACGTAGTACCCTTCCTCAGAATGGAGAGGATTTAGATCTAGGGAAAATAACTAAACAAAATACAGACCATAATAAGGAATATAGCTGTGAATTTGACGTTGTAGTAGTACGTAAAGATATCTCCAAGTCACCAAGTCCTACTACGAAACTCCAACAAAAACAGAAAAAAAGACCAGACGCGAATGAAACACGAAAAAAGGCTAACTCGCACATACCGGTGTTAAGACAACGTAGTGGAAAAGAAGTAGATAAAATAAATTTGGAAAAAAAGGTTGAAAATCCCGCGGAAAAGCGTGTCCGATGGGATGACGTGAATTTAGTTCAAGTTTCTTCGCCACTTATCAAGCATTCTCCGATATCGGCAAAGGAGAAACGCGTAATTAAATCTTGTTTAAAGCCCACAGTATGTATATTAAAACTACGCTATAGACTTATAAGGCGTAACTATTGTAACTAGTATTTACATTGTTAAAATGATGCCATAATATAAGTCTCACCTTAATCTCTTATAATTTTATTATTATTATTATTACTTCAATGATAGTTAATTATGTCTTCATTTTGAAATCTAGAGTTGCGATCCAAACCTTCTTTTGAATTATGACATTATCACGTAGTTTGTGTTTGGGAATCGGGATTTCTACTACATTTGGGATAATAACCAAAACCCAAATATATGTCCCATTTTCGGTTAATAGTCTTAAACTCAAGAACCAGTCAAATTTATTAAATCAATGTTATAAATTATTAAAATTTCGTTTTCATTTTCAAAATTTTCAAATTAAAAGAACTTAAAAATGATTTAGTGACTAAGTAGGATTGTTAAATAAATTGATATATAGGTCTAATAGTTATATTTATATCGGAAATATATACAATAAATGAAAGTAATTATAAAGTGAAAGTTTTTTCACATCAAAAATAAAAAACTCAAATAATAAATTTTTCGACCAAGTTTCCTCGAATTCGAGAAGTGTTTAATATTTTTTAGAAAAGTGGGAATCCTTAATAAAAACCAATTCATAGTCCTCGATTGATAAATGAATTACTCGGAATTAGTGTTTCGAGTTGGTTAAAATTTTGATTGGCTTAAGGGTAGGGGGTATAAATTATAAATTATATATAAAACTAAGAGAATTTTTATTTGTAGCTCAAAATTTTGATTATGAAACCATCTTTTGGCTTCTAACAAAAAAAAAAATTTCCTTATAAAATTTTGGCATAAACTATACCTTGCCCAATCCCAAACCCACCTATACTTTAATTATAAGCGAGGGTTTAATTTTTCATTTATGAAATTGTTTTGACAGGCATGTTACCGTTAAACGAATTTATAACTCAATAAATTATACCCTTGTATAAAAAACTAATAAATTTCCTAAAACTAAAATTACAAAAAAATTTATTAAGTAAACTATTTTTATGTTTTTAATAAAAGTTGTAGAATAGATTTTTATGATTTTAATGATAGTAAAATTATTAAATATTCATCGAGAAACATGTATTTAAAAATGGTATATATGTAAACGGTTTATATAGAGAGCCAATCAGATTGCACGATCAAATGCAAGCAACATATAATTATTGCTTTCTCTAAGATATTGTCTATATCTCATTTTTTTGCGAAATTTTGATATAGACTATAGCTCACTCCAATTCCAAATGCACCCTTATCCTAACCATAAGAAGGGGTTTAATTTTTCATTTTATAAAAGTTGTTTCTTTAGATATTAAAAATCATACAGTATGAAGATCATATGATATGAACCAATTAAAATTGTTAAATTTTTTAACTTGAAAATTTTAGATTAAAATTTTTCTAATCTTAAATATTCTTTGCATGTTTTTATTTTTTTTATGTTGTACTACGTACTGAATTACAGAATTATATAACAAATGATCTACAAACCCCCGTGTTAATTTTTTAGTTAAAATTTACCGTGCAGCAAATAAAGAAAAACTATGAGCCACCGCACTATTTACAAATGGTAATTGTTTCTGTGCGCTGTGCGCAAAATTTTGTTAAAATAATCACCGACATATCCCCTACCCCTAATATATTATCACATGTTTTGGATTAATTTTTCAATTGATTATAAGCTGTCAACAATTGCGATAGTTTGTTTTTCCGTCACGTTACACCCGATCCTGCACCCAGATTGAAAAAATACCCGAAAAAAATGACCGACGCGTGACGACAGCAAATCAGTGAAATAAAATCAATCGAATATAGCGTAATGTTTAAAAAAATAAAACTTGCCTTTAGAGCTTTGTTTAAAATTAGTGCAAAGCCGAATTTTGAGAGGAATAGAAATAAGGCAGATTGACATTTTAAAAAAAATTAATACCTTAATTTTCATAGCTCATATCTTGATGAATTTTGAAGGTACCTTGATAACTTAATATTCAGAAGAAAGCTTAGATCGTAGGCTTTCTTTTGACTATTAAACCATTAAGATAGTCTCAGAATCCATTGAGATATGAACTGTGAAAGTTAAGGCATTAATTTTTTTTAAATGTCTATCTGCCTTATTTCTATTGACGGCTGCCCATATATTGTGTAACCCGAGTTCCTGGAATTCGACGATGCACAAGCCAAATACAAGCTAACGCTAACTAATATATCAAAATTACGGTTCGTACATCGGTTAGCAGTTTTATTAGTAAAATTCGTCAAAATTTGGTGATTTCGAGCATAATTATCGCACTTTCAAATTACTGTGTCCACTGATTTTGATACATCACACTGGGAATCAGAAATCTAGAAAAAAATGCAAATACGTGATTGGCTTAAAATTATTTTTAACCAATCACAGATTTGCATTTATTCTAGATTTCTGATTTCCGGTATGATATGAAAATCAGTAGACACAGTGATTTGAAAAGCGCGATAATTAAGTCCAGAAGCTCTAATTACACGAAATCTCATTTCACTGACATTTCATACACAGATAGTCAATTCATAGGCTAATTTTATTTTATATTTCAATATTTCATAGATAATTTATTACACTGATAGCTCATTTCACATGCAAGTTTTTTCTTTTATAATTGCATTAACCCTAAACATAATTCTGATCCTAATCCTCTAATAACAACTATAATTACTTTTGAGCTGTCGGTGAAATAAATGATTTATAAAACGCGCTGTCGGTGAAAATAAATTATCTATGAATTAAATTTATGTCTGAAATAAACTGTATGAAGTAATTGTATATTAAGTAAGCAGAGCCGTTTCTAGCTTTCGATTTATATTTTTGTATTTTACATAAATTTTTTATTGGCCGTGTTGGAAATTTACTATTGGTATCCGATCATGTGATTAATAGAGCCGATGCTTTTTAGCAGACTTGTAACGAAATTAACTTACCAGTACCCTTGTGACCAAGCTGTTGAACTGCTCGGTTTAACTGTCTGACCTGCGGCTACAGTGATACGGGCTGATGAAAAATCATCGGCTGGGATCGATCACAAAAAGCTCGGACCGATCGACCGGGCTGACCCTTTTGCTATGTAGTGCAGTTTTCTTGGTCAGAATCTGCCTTCACATTGCCATTAGGTAATTTCTTGCTATATAGTATGAATTGTCTACGTATACGTATACATCCGTTTCCTATTTTATTCGTTATTTGCCAATTTAACATCTAAATTAACTATTGATGTTATAAATGACTAGCCGATTTTTGGTCAATTCTAGCCTGAAATATGCTTCAGAAGAGAATTGCTTCTAACACTTCATTCATTGACCAGTCCGGCCCACGAAGCTGCAGGATAAAGGTCGCCCCGCTCATTGACCCGTATCACTATCGTCACTTTATATTTTAAATAATAATAATATATTCTATCACTATATAAAGTTCCTAAGTTATTAATAAATATATGTTTTTTTTCTAAATTTTAGAGCAAATTTGCCCAAGATGGTCTAAGGGATAATAAATCGATTCATAATATAACGGTGATAAAAATGTTAATCTACTAAAATAACTTACTAAAATAACATTAAAATAATTGAATATAAAACGATATTATAAGTTCAAATTATTTCTGTCAACTAATTCCGCAAGTAACGTCCTTTTTTTTCATTTTTATTGGAAACAATTTACTTTAAACACTTAAAAATTTTTTCATTAATCAACAGAATTAACGGAATCACCACCCATTTCAGCACGTAAACCATCATATGGATATTGTTTCTTTATCTACATTTTTAAATGGAAAAAAAAAATAAAAAAATTAAAAAATAAGAATCACATCACAAAATTGTGTAAAAAAAAAAAAAACCGCAAATTAACAAAAAACTAACTGCAGGTGCTTCGTAATCGGTTTGTTTAATCGCAAACATGTAAACTCCAATAAGAGCAAAGAAAGCTAAGAGCTGCATCGCAGCATCACCTAAATTAATATCATATCTATCAAACGTCCATATATTTAAGATTTCTTCTTCCTCATGAAGCTATATTAATTAAGATATTTCGGGATGAAATGATTTATTTAGAAAAATAGAAATGCATAAAGATTTTCGAATAAATTCAAATAAACATTCTAAAGGCATCTCCAAAAATTCGCACATTGTTTTAGATAAAAAAAAACATTAAATTTCTCTTCGATCGAGTAAACTAACCGGTTCACCAAAATTTCTCCTATTTTGTAGATCATCCCACCCAAGAGGTGGTCTGTCTTGTTTAAATTCAATGGGCAAATTTGGGTAATCGCCAATTTGAGGATCTGGATTAACCTTTGGCGGTGGTTTTACATGTTGGTATCGAACTAAGCGTTCTCTGAAAGTTATTGGAAAACCCTGGGATAAGACAGGTAAGCTTCGAAAAAGGTTTGTTCTAGTAGCTGTACGAGTGAGTTGTGTTAAACGCGGAAGCATGTCGTTTATTGTAAATGAAAATCTGAAAAATAATTTAAAAGAAAAAAAAATCCCGATTGGCAGATATATCCGTATCGTGGCTAATCCGGTGTCACCACCGATTTTGAGTGGACGTCCGACGGCGAACTTGGATTACATAGGATTTTGAGTCGTGGACAAATTCAAGACAACCTAGTATTAACGATAAATAAACATTGAAGAGTATTTTATTAATTTGGAAGATGAAAATTCTTTTTCATTAGAAAGGAATCAAACATCTGTTCCTAACTTCGAGGGGACTAGCATTTATATACATGCGCAGGCGTTGTTAAAGGTTTATCGTATGGATATGACACATCTAGTATCGCCACTATTTGTTGACACTAAAATTAATGATTAAATACAATAACGATAACAGATAATAATATATTAAGAATAATAATAACAATTTACGTTGACATTGTTTACATCTTACAAAACTCTGTTCATCTTGTCGAATTACGAAACTAATAAAACAAAAAACGGAAATGTGAGGATCAAATTTTAAATGATATTTGCAAGCAAAATGAAATTTTCATAAAATCCGAAGAGCTTAAATGCGTATATAGTTTATGAAAAACTTATGGATGTTGAAGGAGAAAGCGATA